CTTAAGGCCTGTGCGGAGCACCCAGGGGACAAGGGTTCCAGTGCAAGTAGTCTAGTGGGAGGTGATCCCAGGAAGCTAGGGGATTGAGGAAGTGAGACAGGGAAGGGAAGGAGCCATGGTTACTGTTGTGGGTAAATGGAGCCCAGTCCCGATGGGGAGCCCCAGCAACAGCATGGAACACATCCCAGAGTTAGCCCAGCTGAGGGGCAGGGAGTTGGACACTCAGTGATGGAGGCTGCCCTTGGGGCACTCACTTACTGACCTGTCCTGTGTATGGACAGAATGTGCGCTGGTGGCCAGAGAGGGCTTTCAGGCAGAAAGACTCTGGTGTTGACAGTTGGAAATTGAGCAGGTGGGCCCTGAAGCAGTGAGGGGCCCGGGGGATAAGGGTGGGGCACATTGCTGCTTCTCTCCTCAGGCCCAGCATGGGCCTTGGCACCGAGGGCCTGCCTTGCGTTGACCCTGAATGTTCCCAGGCTCGAGGTGAGCCCTTTGGGTAGAGGCTGCCCCAGCATCCAGGAGGGAATTTGGCCTGCAAAGATGATCTGCAACTCAGCGTGTGAGAAACGGAAACACTTGTCCTTTCTCCCGTCTCTCCACCTCTCCTGCTCAGCCTTGCCAACTCTCCCTAGGCTGGCCTCCACACTGGCCCCAGCTTGCCCAGCTCTCTCAGCACAAGCTCTTTGCCTGGCTATGCCCCCACCAGCAATGCATGCCATCTGCTCCCAGTGCCTGTCACTGCTGGGCTGCCCCACCTCACTGCCATGCCTACACTCTGGGAAGGGCACAGCACGGCATGAGACAGCACCTGTAGCCACCAGGCCGGGCCCTGCCCCTCATTCAGCCTCGGTCTCACCATGTGTAAAATAAGGGTTGGGTTTTTAAATCTCTTCTGCTAAGTCTGGTGGATAGTGAATGCATTAGGAAAAGTGCTGGGATTGATAAGTGATGTTTGCCCTGGGCACAGGATGGAGGCTGTGGCCGCGCAGGCCACACGCTGGTCCCCCCTGCACCAAATGATCTCTAAGGTTTTTTTTCAGTTGAAGGGTTTGATCTTGAGGTAGTGAGTGTCCCGTCCCTGGAGGTATCTAAGCAAGGGTTGAATGGCCATGGGTAAGGGGTGCTGGTGTGGGTCTTTAAGCCTCTATCTTGAGTCCTGAGATTTGAGGATGTTCATATGTCTTATCAACCAAATGAAAGTACAAGGGCCCAGAAGACAAAGACTCTGGAACACAGTGTCAAGCTCACAGTCTGGCCTCAGGGCCCGAGGGAGTGGCGAGTTGATTTTACCCCCACCACCCACAGACTGGGAGCTCCACTCCTTAATGACTGTGTGACCCTGGGGTAAGTGACTCAGCCTTTCTGAGCCTCAGTTTTCTCAACTGGAAAATGGGGCTGATAGTTACAGGATTGTTGCAGGGATTAAAGGAGTTTAATAAAGCTCTTAGAATAGTCCCTGGCAGGTGATAGGCACTCCACGAGTATTGATTGTTATGATCACACCTCTGAAGGGGTCCCAGTCAGCAGAAAGATCCCTGAGCAGGCCTGACCCCTGCCTGCTCTGAGGCTGTGGGGCCCCAAGTCTCTTCACTTCTGGGGCCAGTGTCTTCATCCAGGCAGGCTATGCCACGTCTGTTGGCCCTTCTGTCTCAGTGCTTTCTGGGTACTTGAGAATGTGGGCCAGCCCTCACCCTGGTTTCCTCTGGATGCCGCTGAAAGCCGATGTGCCGAGAACCACGGGACATGGTGTCCTGTTCCATCCGGAGGTACATCCCGTGGCCGGCAGTGTCCACACTCTGCCCACAGGCCCCACCTCCTCCTCCTCTGTGGTGTGGGGTGTCTGCTCTTGGAGCAGGTATGCCAGGTGCCCTTCCCCTTCCCTGCCCAGGCATGCTTGGGGCCCATCAGCCAACCGGGCTCCACCGAGGATGGTCCTCATTTGTATCTTCCCCATCTCACCCTGGGCCATCATGTTGCTTCATGACCTGGGACAAGTCTCCCGTGTTCTCTCAGCCTCAATCCTCCTGTCTATAAAATGGGGAGCCTGCCTCCTTGCTTGCTAAGGCCTCTTCTAGCAAGACAAACCCTCTAATCCTCATTAAAATTATCCTAGATCCTAATTTCCAATCCGATTTCACCATATGCACCCCACTGAGCACAAGCCAAGCCTAGATATCCCTGGTTGGGGACACTGTCCTATGTCTCTTATACCGAGTCCATAAAGACCGTGGAGCTGCAAGACCTTCTTGCCACACCTGCCTGTGTGCGTGGAGGGGAGTTGGGAAGTGTGTGGTGCTGGGGTGTCTGCTCTTGTTCCCTCTCTGGATCTGTGTGCACCCAGTTTCCCGTGAGGCGGCTCCTACATCCCAAGCTCACTCTATCTGTCTCTGTCTCTTCATCTCTCCTCTGCCTCCCTCTTACTCTCTCTCTGTCTCTGTCACACACACACACACACACACATCCCGATTCTCTGGGCTCCAACTCCATCTCTGCTACTAGCTGTTGGACAACTTCTGACAAATGACTTTGCTCCCAAGTCTCAGTTTCTGCCTCTGAGGAGTGGGGGAGGGGTTTGAGCTTGGCCTTGTTGGCTGTCTCTGTGTGGCTTTAGGAGGAAACACAACACAACAGAAGCTGGGTCCCAGGCACCCAGCCCTGGCAGAGATGCCGGCCCTGCCACACCCCTCACCCCACCCCACCCTGCCCTTGAACCTGGCTGGCAACAGTGCCCCCTGCTGGGCTCTCTGGGCCTTTGGTTCCTGCAGCCTGTTCCCTGCAGGCCTTGAGCTTCTCAACACGCGCCAGAGTGGCCATGGCCTGCTGGATTGCCCTTCAGGCCACACAAACCCACCTCCTGGGATCCAGCCTCTGCTTGGCTGCCACCCCCAGAGGGGACAGGAGTCTGGGACTGCACTGTCTTCCCAGCACGGTCCAAGGGCCCCCACTGCTGGCTCCCTGCCTCCTGGCCTGGGGAGAAGCTGCATCCACCACTGCAGCCTCAGGCCCCAGCTCCTCAAACCCACTGGGAAGTGGCCAGCCTGAGCAGCTATAAATGGAGGATGTGTCACAAGGAGCAGACCTGCTGTGGAGCCGGGACCCCCGGGCAGGAGGTCTTCCGGATGGCAGTGGGTTGAGGCTCACCTGTCCTCTGCTTGGCTGTGTGGCTGTCACTCACCCTCTCTGAGCCTCCATCTTCCAGCCATGGTAAGGATGCTAAGAGCGTTGTCGTGTGTCAGGTGACACGAGGCCCCCAGATGCAGACATCCTGGCCCACTCCCAGATAAGTTTCTCGAAGTGCCTGGTGACTGAGACAGACCTGGCACAGGCACCGTCTGTAGTCACAGTCTCCCCGCCTCCCTATCTCCCAGGTGTTTCATGACATTACATGCCCCTCGGGTGGCTGCGCCTAGGGTGCCGGTCTTTGAGGCACAGCATCCTGTGGAAGGTGTGGATGGTGTGGGCTCTGCCAGAAGCCAGTCATGAGGTCCAACACAGGCTCTGGAGCCGGGTTGCACAGACAGGTCTTATCCCAGCGTTTCCACCTCCTGGCTGTGCGACTAGGGTGGACTCTGAGCCTCAGTCCTTGTGTTAAAATGGATTGGCCTGATGCCTGGCTGCCCTGGGGCCTTCTCCTTGGTGGGCCTCAGTGTCCCCTTGTAAAGTGGGACAGGTGCTAGGGACTGTGGAGTCCCCAACAGCTCTGCCGTCAGCCCCCGACGCCAGCCTGTGGGGTCTCTGGCCCCCTCAGTGCCCAGGCCAACGGGGCCAGATGACATGGGTACACAGAGCCAGGCAGCTAGGCCACAGCCCCCGAGCCGCGGAGGCCTGGCCTGGCACTGGCAGGCTGGGCATGGAGGCAGGGGCCGTGGCCATGTAAGCAGGGCTTGTCTGGAAACGGCTGCCTGTGTGGGGCGGGCAGTGTCCACCCAGGTGCTGAGCATGTGGGTGCTCTTTCCCAGGGGCTGAAGGCAGTGATAACACAGGTGGCACTTCTGAGTGCAGGGGAGAGATGAGGAGGTCCCTTGGCTGAGGTTGGCCAGTGAGACCCCTGTCTGGCACTGACTCCATGCCCTTCAGCCTAGCATGGCTGGTGATTGAGAGGCCAGGTGGACTCTGTGGGTGCCCAGGGCAGGTGTGTTGGAGGCGAGTGTGTGATCTGGGACGTGTGAAGCTCAGAGGGTGGTTGGGCCTGGTGCGGGGGTGTCCAGGGCTGTCCTGTCTCTTACTGCTCGAGGTCAGCTGGGGAGCCTTGGGTTCACAGATGCCCACCAAGCCCTCCTCTGTGCTAGCCCCGTGCTAGGTGCTGGAGGTGACACAGCCACAACCGATCCAGATGTAGCTCCGCCCCAGGGAGCCAAGAGTTGGGGGACGGAGGGCAACGGGTGTGTCGAAGCAGGGGCAACCTCAGGGAGACAGTGGATTTGGAGCCAAGGCCTGAGGAGGAGGCAGCCTTGAGGGTGTCTGGGAGGAGTTCTGGGGCATGTGCGTGGTGTGTTTGAGGCCTAGTACAGAGGCCCCGGGAGGGTACAGCTGGGTGAGCGGGGTCGGGGAGGGGAGATGGAAGGGTCCTAGGCATGCAGGCCTTGCAGACCACAGGGAGCTCTGGCTTTGACCTCGAGGGTTGGGGGTTCTGACTCCTGCTTTCACAGCCCCCTGTGGCGCTGTGGGGACTTGGGGGCCTGTGAGGGGCCACAGCAGTTATCTGGCATTCGGTGACAGGGATTCAGACAAGGTGGTGGTTGTGAGGTAGGAGAGGTCGTCAGATCTTAAATATGCCCAAAGGCAGAGCCAACAGGGTTTCTTGCAGAGATTGGGGTTCGAGAGCAAGTGGACAGCTGGGCAGCAGTTCACAGCCAAGGGAGGCAGAGCAAGGCATCAGTTTAGGGCGGAGAGGGAAGGTCAGAGGCTTGGATTGGAGAAGTTGGGCTGTCTGTGGGCCCTAGGGAGGGGTGTGGGGTGTCACCTCCACCAGCCCTGACCTGCCATCTCTCATCTCTGTTACAGGTGCCCCTCCAGCCTTGCTGCCCAGAGCTGGCCCGGGGGCGTGCCAGGGCCCCCCGAGCCTGGGGATGACTACAGCTAGCCAGGCCAACCCCTACAGCATTGTGTCATCTGAGGAGGACGGTCTGCACCTGGTCACCATGTCAGGTGCTAACGGCTTCGGCAATGGGAAGGTGCACACACGGCGCCGGGGCCGCCCCCGCTTTGTCAAGAAGAGCGGTCAGTGCAACATCGAGTTTGCCAACATGGATGAGAAGTCACAGCGCTACCTGGCTGACATGTTCACCACCTGCGTGGACATCCGCTGGCGATACATGCTGCTCATCTTCTCACTGGCCTTCCTCGCCTCCTGGCTGCTGTTCGGCATCATCTTCTGGGTAATAGCCGTGGCGCACGGCGACCTGGAGCCAGCGGTGGCCGAGGGCCGTGGGCGCACCCCCTGTGTGCTGCAGGTGCACGGCTTCATGGCAGCTTTCCTCTTCTCCATCGAGACACAGACCACCATTGGCTATGGGCTGCGCTGCGTGACGGAGGAGTGTCCTGTGGCCGTCTTCATGGTGGTGGCGCAGTCCATTGTGGGCTGTGTTATTGACTCCTTCATGATCGGTGCCATCATGGCCAAGATGGCGCGGCCCAAGAAGCGGGCACAGACACTGCTGTTCAGCCGCCACGCCGTGGTGGCTCTGCGTGATGGCAAGCTCTGCCTCATGTGGCGCGTGGGCAACCTGCGCAAGAGCCACATCGTGGAGGCCCACGTGCGGGCCCAGCTCATCAAGCCACGGGTCACAGAGGAGGGCGAGTATATCCCGCTGGACCAGATTGACATTGACGTGGGCTTCGACAAGGGCCTTGACCGCATCTTCCTGGTCTCACCTATCACCATCCTGCATGAGATCGACGAGACCAGCCCACTATTTGGCCTCAGCCGGCAAGACCTAGAGACAGATGACTTTGAGATCGTGGTCATCCTGGAGGGCATGGTGGAGGCCACGGCCATGACCACGCAGGCCCGCAGCTCCTACCTGGCCAGTGAGATCCTATGGGGCCACCGCTTTGAGCCGGTGCTCTTTGAGGAGAAGAACCAGTATAAGATCGACTACGCGCACTTCCACAAGACCTATGAGGTGCCCTCCACGCCCCGCTGCAGCGCCAAGGACCTGGTGGAGAACAAGTTCCTACTGCCCAGTGCTGGCTCCTTTTGCTACGAGAATGAGCTGGCCTTCCTGAGCCGCGATGAGGAGGATGAGGAGGGTGATCAGGATGCCTGCAGCCAGGATGGCCTCAGTCCCCAGAACAGGCATGAGTTTGACAGGCTACAGGCAGGTGGGGGCAGCAGCCTTGAGCAGCGGCCCTACAGACGGGAGTCGGAGATCTGAGCTGACCTCTGCCAAGGTCCAATGCCTGCCTGCCAGGGGTAGGCCCAGTGCCCCATGAGGGTCTGGGTTTGAGCAGAAGTGCCGGGCGCCCACATTACAGACTCAGTAGTGTATTAGTCGTTTTTGATTTCTCTGCAGTCTCCTGGGAGGTTGGTGGGAAAGCAGGCGGCTTAGGCCTCAGATACAGGAGTGGCAGGAGTGGGTGGGCAGCCTCCTAGGGGGCCAGGCTGTGGGAGTCGGGCTGCTGTGAAAGGCTCAGCTGCATCTGGGCCAGAAATGGTGAAAGGGTGAAGCAAGTGGCCCAGCCTCTGTGGGCATAGCTGAGTGGCTGCAGGGCCCCTCGCTGGTTTTTAACTTGGAGAGAAACACCAGTTCCAACTTTCTCCGTCTTAGTTTGGGTAAGACTGTTGAAAAGAAAATTAAAATGTGATTCAAAAAAAATTTTTTTTAATTTGTGGGGAAAGAAAGAACAATTAGAATTCCATTGGTAGTCCAGGATGCAAGCAGCTGGACGGAAGTTCTGGAAGGTTCCCTGAGGCCAGACTGGCCCCCTCCCAGGGAAGGCCTGGACACATGTGGAAGGCGGCAGCCCCAAGCAGCGCAGTGATCACGGCGCAGTTTCTCCCTTCTAAGATGAGTTAGAGTCCATGGTGACAGAGACACCAAGATAGTGTTGATGATCATAATAAAAGCTTTCTAGTGTCACTGGTGTGGGGGTGGGCTGGGGAACATGAGTTTGAGCCTCTTGAGTTTGACTGTGTACCTTTAGAGACGCCATTGTGAGGGTTTGCTTCCTCTACACGAATTCTCTGTCCAGTCTTGCTTCTCCCTCTATTTCTACCCAGTGGTCTCCACGCCCTCCACAGTGAGGGCCAGGTGGGAAAAGTGGGAATGATGGCCTTTGGGAAAACTGGTTCCCCAGACTAAGAAGGAAAGGGATTCACTTGGCCCACAAAGGGAGTCATGCCTTAGAGATGCCAGCTGGTCCAGCTGAAGCTGTTTCTGTTTTTATCTGCCTGTCCTGTCCTCCCCTGCTGCCCCAGTGCCACTGCTGAAGTCCCTGCCAGCCCCTCCGTCTACCCCAAGAAGGCCTCACGTCCCTGCCACTCATCCCCATCACCTGTGGGCTGGCACAGATGTGCACAGGTGTACACAGGTTGTGGTTTGCTGCTGACTGGTAGAGAAAAGATCTTAGGAAGGGCACAGAATTGTTAGCACCTCCCTCCTGCCCCAAACTGAGATACCTGGGGAGTCCCATTCAAGGTCAAGGCTGCATTGAGAAATCAGCCAGGTAACAAAGAATTCCTTCTGAGGCATCTCTCCTCCGAGGAATGCTGGAGGGGAGGTGCTCTAACAGTGGGACCCTAGTTAGGAGGACGTTTGTGCCCATGGAGGCAAGCCCCAGGCCCAGAGCTATCCGGTGTGCCTTCCTCTTGGCAGAGGAGACAGCAGGCAGGGGCCCAGGCCCTTCCCAGGCCTGTTAAGAAAAAGTTTGTCCCCCTTCATGGTCAGGCCAGTAGGAAGTCGTGTTTACAGCCTACCTGTCCCGCTCATGTCAGCCTGTGCTCGAGAGTGGCTTGGAACCAGGAACTCAGGGACTCTTGCCTGACTATATTTTGCAAATGGAAAACAGAGCAGAGAGGGGACTGTCCAAGGTCATGTGGTGAGTAAGTAGAGGGTAGGCAGAGGCCGGGGTCTGGGTGAGGCCTCCTGCCTCTTCTCTCCTTCTCCCTACTGAAGCTAGAGGCAATGTGGCCTTGAGAACCAGAGCCCTAGGGGACTGGATGTGGGCTTACAGTCACTTGCCAGGTGGCCACAGGCAGGGCACCCAGAGACCCCCCAGCTTCCATGCCCTGAGATAGGCCCAGCCTCAGACCCCACCCTAATTTCTGGCCTGAAGGTCTAGCGGGGGCAGGTGGAGGCAGCTCTTTCCTCTCTGGACCTGCTGGAGGAGCCTCAGTTCCTTCCCAAGTCTCATCCCTGCCTTGGGTGATCCAGTGGCAGAGCCAGAAGAGGGGCCACTTTGGTACCAGAGGTCTCGCAGTCACCCCCTAACCTTGCCCAATTGTCAGGCTGAGGCCCAGGGATGGAGTAGGGTTGCCCCAGTCACACGGCACCGGCTGAGGAGCCTATGCTGAGCTCTGCCCAGCTGCCCAAGACCCTTCCAGGGCCAGGTGCCCAGCCTTCCACTCGCCCCTGTGCAGGGCCAACTCTAGGCCACCAGACCCCCCCGAGGCCCACTCCTTGTCTAGCTCTGTGGCCTGGTGCATCTTCCTCTCAGGCCTGGACACCCTTGTCCAGCCCCCCTACCCCACGCTGGACTCTTCATCCCTCAAGCCTTTGGGGGAGCAGCCAGAGGCAGACTGAGGCTGCATTTCAAAACTCTCCTGCCCTCTTTTCTTCTCCCACTCTATGTATGTATTTATTTATTTGTTGCTTGTGCTAAAGACCAAAATAGTTTCCCTCTTTAGTGCATTTGGGACAGGAGGGTGGGCAGGAGGAGTCACATATGCATGCAAGACCCCCCAGGGAGGGTTTGCATGGGGGTGCGTGTGTGTGTGTGTGTGTGCACTTGCAGTCGTGTGCTGAGCACAGGTGGGTGGGGACTGTTGGTGTGAATGTGTGGTGTGTGTGTATGCGCGTGTACGTGGTAGTGATCGTGCATGCAGGTGTGTGTGCACACATTGATTCACCTTGCACTCCCAGGCAGTGGAATTTCAAGAAGGTTCTCGACAGCCTGAACTGGACTGGAAGGTGCAAAAATTAGGGATGGCCCAGGACATAGCATCTGGCACCCTCTGCCCTGAGAGACAGGGCTACTTACATGGAAAAAGAGAGCTGAGTGGGCTCCGTGTCAGGCAGACATGCGTGTGTGTGTGTGCGTGTTTATAGGTGGGTAAACATTTGAACCACCCCACCCCCACCACATAGACAACTGGTGCACACAAACCCATGAATACACACACATATGCATGTGTACATAACAAGCACGGACTCACAACAAACACGGAGTTGTCCAACCTATGTATGAGTGAAGCATGTGCCCGTAAGTGCCAAATACATGGAGACACCATCCGTGAGTGTCGTACAAGTGTGCACCACAATGGTGTCCACATATGTGAGTCTCCTGTGTACGCATGCGTGTGTGTGTGTGTGTGTGTAATCACGGGTGTGCACCAGTTGTCTATGTGGCAGGGGTGGGTGGTTCAAATGTTTACCCACCTATAAGGCTAGGTTCACCCCCATCAGAATGGACACTGCCTAGGGACATTGGTCTGGTTGGACCACCTGGTCCCGCGGACTCCACCTGACTGCACACATATGTGCATGGGGGCAACACGTATGCAAGATGAGGGCTCTGTACCCACACACAAGGCAGTATCTGTCTGGAGGTTATGTTTTGCACATGGGCCGTGGGTAGGAGGGCACATGTGTGCTGGTGCATGTGAGCATGTGTACATGAGTGTGACATCAGACAGCTGCCTATGGGGACCCCACTGTGTGCCAGGCCCTGTGTTTCAGGCTAGAGGTGAACAAGATGCAAGCGGCGCCTGCGTCTGGTAGCAAGTGTGACCATGTGTCCGTATGTGTATATCTGTGTGTATGTGCGTGTGCACACGCACAAGCCCCGGGAGTGTTTGTGGGGGCGTGTGCACATGCACACGCTGTGCTGCTCAGAGCTTGGCTGTCCCCTCCTGCCCCCAGCTGGTGCTTTACTGCGCAGTCCCTGCCCAACTGAGGGCCCAGAGAACGGGCAGGGCCTGATGGGAGGAGCCACTGTTGGGGGAGGTCTTTGCACAGGTGTGTCAGACCTGTGTGAGGCTGCAGAATGTCAAATCTATTTTAAATGATGAAACTGGAGAATTTTCATTTTTAGTACGTAGCAGTATCTAAAGACCTAGGCCCTGAGACTAGACCACATTAAATGCAGTTTGATCTCTTTGAATGCCACCGTGTCAGACACGTTTGAAAGTCATTCCCTGCCTAGTCCACGGCAAGCTGAGCGTCCACTTGTGGCCTTGGTCCCTGTGTCCTGGGGTGGTGGGATCTCTGGGGGCAGGGCTGGGGGGCTGGGGGTAGAACATGACAGCAGTTACAGCCTCCTTGTAGGCCTCTGGGGGGTGACCTTCCAGCCATTCATTTCCACCATCACACATGCCCCTGAATGCGCGTGAGATGAGGCCTGTGATGGGGCAAAAGCTCAACCCAGGACCCCGGTACTGGGGCTCCACTTTCCGGTACCTCTTAACCAGCTTTGTGATGCTAGACAGCTGCTTTGCTCCTCTAGGCTTGCGTTTCCCACCTCTCCCTTCTACACATATTTGATGGGCACCTGCTATAAGCCAGACACCATGCTAAGTGTGAGAGACTCAGCTGTGGACATTGGGTGCTCTTGCCAGGAGTGGGGAAGGCTGACAAGGAGACAGCTCTTGTGCCCCTTGCTGTGACAGGAGAGGAAGCTGGCAGAGGTGGGGGTGGTGGCAGAGGGAGGTGACCAGGGAGGAATTTTGGGGCAGTGTCCACTCTGCTGAGGCTGAGTGCAATGAGGAGGCGGTGTTAGGGGAATGGGAGGAGAAGACACATGTGGCCAGCAGAGGGAACAACATGTACAGAGGCCCAGAGGAAGAGGCAAATGGCTCTCTTTTAGTCTCTGAGATCCCAGCAGCTTTGTGGCAGAGAGCCTGGGGAAGCATGAGACCCTGGCAGATGAAACCCTGAATAATTTAAAAAATTTTGTTTTATTATGGTTAAATACATATAACATAAAAATCACCAGTTTTAACCATTTTTATGTGTACAGTTCAGTGGCATTAATCACATTCACCGTGTGCAACCATCACCACTATCCATTTCCAAAACTTTTTCATCACCCCGAACAGAAACTCTTTACCCCTTAAGCAGTAACTCCCCGTTCGCTTCCCCCAGCCCCTGGTAACCACTACTGTACTTTTGTGTCTGTGCTTTTGCCTCTGAATAATTAAATAAATCATGAGCGGCTCCAGGCGACACTGCCATCTTCTCAGCTAATCATTAGGCAGTAAACAGGGAGCCAAGACTTCAGAAAATTTTGTGGGCAAAAGACCTCAGAGGAAGAGAATTCTCTCCTTTGCTGGAGCACCTCATTGTGAAGAGTTCACTTCTCTTCTAGGTGAAA